GTTCTGCAACTCGCCGCTATTTAACGCCAAAGTAGGTGGCGCTTTTGCGGCGAGAATGCAATCCCAAACGTGGCTGAGCTTGTATCCCCCCTCGTCCCGGTTGCAGAACTCCAGTCAGAAGCTCTGAGGAAGGTGTCTGATAGACATCGAAACGTAAGCAGGTGAGAACCTTACTGGTTGTGTTAGAAGAAAATCCTATACCCTAAGTATCTTCCAACCTGATGAAATTATTTACGGACACAATAGTTATACTAGTTATAACCACACCAAGTAAATTTTATGGATGACTTCCGCGCGCGCATTGATTTTGGCCTGTTCCTAGAAAAAAAAGCAATTCCGCTTCCTGTAACTATGACCAAAGAGTCACGACAGTGCCGCAAATAGGTCTGTACGGACCAAAGCTTATGAAGATCAAGCAAGGAAATCATGACTTCCATTAGGAATTCAGTTTGGTACATGCTGCCACATTTGAAGAAACTTGCTGACCGCTCCATCTAACTCCCCAAAGCACAAGACGACAACTGCTGTTCCACCTGATTTATTGCTGTTTTGATGATGAATAAAAGACTTCTTGCTTGTTACACCTCACCTCATTCAATTTGTGTTCTAACATTTGCCGTCTCTTAGTATATTTCTAATCTAGGCATCTTGTTTTTTAGGGCCCTTCTTGGGTTTTTTTTCGCCCTTCGCATTAAATTTACTTGGTGTGGCCTAAGCCTAACCTAACAGGTCAAAGTATTTTCTTTTCTAATTACAGTATATATTTTACACCTATTCATCATGTAAACTGATAAATATGTACACAATAAATTCTAATCTATTTGAAGTCATATTTGCCATATCGTCAACGATTCTCACTAAAAACGAAGACGACGTTTTAAAAGTATAATAACATAAAAGGTAAAACGGTAATTTCATGATTATGTGGGTGATAAAATGCAGAATTGAAAAAATGCAGAATTGAAAGGGCGTACCCACCATAGCCTTCAGATTTTTCCCATACACATGAACATGAACAGTGCTGTTCACCGGAGGTTGGTCGGGCCGGGTCCTGTACCTCAGTCAGATCGCCCCAAACTACCGTCTACATCGTCCGAGTTCAGACCATTTATTCTGCCTACCTTAAATGGACTAGCCTTGTAGGGCTATGGAACGTACATGTTGAACTTCAACAGATATTAGTTACTGTGTTTGGTTTTTATGATCACCATTGCTAAACCCAAATATTTGCTCGAAAACCAATGCCTTAAGTCACTTTACAACCCATGACCCGTGTTCTTAAGACTATTGTAATGCGTTCGTTTTATTAAGTGAGCAGATTGTGATGCGTGAAGCCGTGAATCTGTTGACAGGAATCGAGTTTCCTGACCGTGAAGGTGTATTACCGTTTAAGTCTGCTGATCAGTACATTTTTCATTGCAAGAATTTGGAAGTTGAATGTGAAAAATGCTGCCTTGGCAGACAGCCGCTGGTGTTCGGCACAAGTACGAAGGATCTATCCTGGCGAGCAAAACTGGATAATGAACATTCTGCCCTTGACATGCATCACACTAGCTATAGTCTAGAGTGGTTCAAGCTGATGTGGAGAGGACTTTTTAGCTTTTTAGATCCAAACT